ACGACTCCCACCCCCTTTCTTTTTGGAGTCCACCGGGAAAAAAAATACGTATGCAACTACTCAATTTTTTTTCTGTATGTATTTATATCCTATTTACTGTAATAAGAATGAACAAAATTTAACCTAACCGTTTTTAAGAGAAACCTTGAACTTATTAAAGTCATTAAAAGACATCAAAAGTAGAGAAAGCTCATTTCCCGCCATCTCGGAAATCAAAATTTTCCCGAGAGAACCCAGACCCCCTTTCTCTTTGGGGTCCATTGATTCATGGAATCGTTTTCATGATGGGGAAACATTGAATTTTGCAGAGCTTATAAGTAATTAAAAGACACCTCAGAAGACGGGAAAGCTCATTTTCCGCCATCTAGGATATCCCCGACATGCCGTTCAGCTTGGGGTTCATCGATTCATGGAGAAGAGAATGTGTGCAACTACTCAATTTTCCATGTATACTGTATAAACACATAAAAGGCCTATTTACCGTATAAGAATGAGAAAATTCACCTGACCGTTTTCAAGAGTGTAAATCTTTAATTTCGTCGCTCACATCACAAACTAACACAATCAAAGTAGATTATGTTAGTTCGTGAAATCACAGTAGCGCGTCAAACCGAGCGCGTATTGGTTGTCAAGCAATTTTGTATTCTTTACCACACAAAAAGTCCTTAACGACAGCAGCGTGTATTTTGACGCGCTTTTTTTATTTCACGAACTAACACAATTTAATTTAATTGTGTTAGTTCGTGATGTGAGCGACGATTTATTTTAAGAACTTAAAAGTCATTAAAAGACACCTCAGAAGTCGGGAAAGCTCATTTCCCACAATCTAGGAATCAAAAATTTTCCCCCTTTATTTTTGGATTTTTTGGGAACATTTTGAAAATAATATTTATAATAGTAATAATATTAATAATACAATAATAATAATTTTATAAGTGTATGTATGTACGTATAAATTTGCAGAAGCAGATAAGTCTTGAAATAAAGTACACGTCATGGACGTCACCGTTGGCGTCTGCTCTTATGGCTCCCTTGTTTCTTGCCGAATGCCGAGGTTATACAAAACTGTACAACAGCATTGACGAACGTGGTAAGTTGCTTAACATGATTTTATGAACTCCTCTTTAAAAAAAAATATTATCAAACAGATTTATATATATATATATATACTGTATTCTTTTTAGATAATGATCAGTGGTGTAACGGTGAGAGAAAAGTGTTGGGTCCCTGTATTTTGGCACACGAATTGGTCGAAGGGATGTGTGAGGGAATATTTCCTCTCCCAAAAGAATAAAACGAATAAAGAAAGACTGCTCTTTGATTATAGGCAATGCTATATTTTGTGAGATAGGGCCTATTGTGAGACTATTCTCCAATTAACTACGGAATTAACTTAATGTTAATTGTAAATTCAGTTTTCTTCGTGCATCTTTACATCTGTACAATGTAATTTGATTACATACTGCTATTAACATGCATCGTTATATTCGCATTTGTTATTTTCTGTAATGAACTTTAAAGCCAGACCCCGGAGGGGAAAAAATTGATAGGCCTATGCTGTAGAACTGATTTTTCTAAGACTGGAAAAAGTTGTTTGACGAAAAACTGGGGAACGGTGAACGAGGTACAGATTTTTTTACACCTTTTCCACCAGTTTTTAAATATTAAAAAATCTGTATCTCATTCACCGTTGCTCAGTTTTTGATCAAACAACTTTTTTCTGTCTTAGAAAAATCACTTCTACAACATATCAACACATTTTTTCCTCCGGAGCCTGACTTTAAAAAGGAATGTTAAATCTCATTAACCAGCAATCTATCATTAAGCTAATACCGTGGTTAGCATTGAAGTTGCCAAAGTTGCGATCCAACTGCCGGCTCCATTTTCTTAACAAAGTTGGTCCACATTATGCGTACCCCGCACCCCCAAATCCTGGGTATGGAATTGAGGTCTTCGTTTGTAAGCTTTTTTAGAAAAAAAAATACCTCTAATGAACTCCCAAAATCGTTTCAAAAGCTATGACAATTGTTGACTTCTATATATCATTATTTAAATTTAACTTTACCTTGCAATATTTCCGTTAAAATAATTTTTCATTCCCTATGTAATTCAATATAGGCCTATAATTAACTGTAGGCTAACTAGATTGAGTGACGAATGTTGAAACCCGAGTGATCTCGAAAAGTATCATGAATGTTTCCGTTTAGTCATCCTCAGGCTTTGGGTTTATTACTTCATGTATGATTGTATTGAATGAAATATAGTTTCTAGAACCTATATAATGCTTAATAAATATAAGGCATTGTATATTTAGCCGGTAAAACGCCAATTCGTTTACACACCATATGCACTGTCGTCAATATGCCTATATATTAAAATTCGTCTACTTATTCGTACACATATTTCTCTAATTGTATAGGCCTCTTTTTGTGCTGAGAGATAAGACAGATTATATACAAAAAACCTCCCAAAAAAGTAAGCTTAGATGTAAATAACCATTAAAAAAAATTAACACAGAAACGTATATACAATACAAAGGGAATACAAATAGATGACAAGATAAATCTTGTCATCTATAATACCGGTATTTGAAATCATTGTAAATGTCAAATTATATTTGATTACAGCTAATCTAATTACGCGACTTGTGTCCTCGTGTGAAGTTGTGCAATACAGATTCAAATTGTTGTTTTAATGACTAATTTCTAATGAAACACATCTAGTACACAATTGACTATTTTCCTCAACTAAAACTGAAAGTTAGAATATATACATAATCTAACATTCGTATAATAATTTACACTAGTGTATGATACGCAATTCAACTAATTGCTTAGTATAGAACGACTTGCTGTGCGAAAGAATATCTTTTCACGAATTAATGATTATTCCGTTTTGTTATTGTTGGCTTTAGGCTGGAAAATCTAAGGGTAAAACAACTCGAGTATTTTGGCAAACAATATCTCAAACTGAATAAATATCACTTGAAAAATGAACTGGGGCTAAGATATGTAAACATTTCAATAATCAGACAAAACAAAGATAGTATTTTCAAGTTTGATCATAAAACTCCTCATATACAATGTCAACTTTTAAATTTGCAATAATCAAGTTTTTTTTTCTGATAACTATTAAACTGCAACTGTTTATAGCACAGCACATGGTACTACCCCAGACGGAAATGCCTGTCACACATTAATGATTTTGTTTTTTGCAGGTTGGCCGTTTGTAATCTTCAGCATAATTAGCTTCATGATGTTCACTGATTGCCTGATATATTGGATTCATCGAGGTTTGCACCACCGATCAGTTTATAAAGCAATTCACAAAGCTCACCACTCATGGAAGATTGTGACGCCGTTCTCAAGCCATGCCATGAACCCCGTCGACGCCTGGCTTCAATCCGTTCCCTATCATATCTACCCTTTCATATTCCCACTCAATAAATATCTCCACATAGCTCTTCTTATGTTGGTTAACTTCTGGGCAATCAGTGTCCACGATGGAAACTTCAAAGTGCCTGATATCCTGAAGCCGATTATTAACGGTTCTGCGCACCATACTGATCATCACATGTTTTTCAACTACAACTACGGACAGTACTTTACATTCTGGGATCGTGTTGGGGGATCCTTCAGAGTGCCTAGTGCCTTTGAGGGGAAATCTCCTTTGGATGAGTTAAAGAAGAAATAAAAAACCACATCAAACATTTCGATGGTAAACCATGTGACTTAAAAAATGGAACTGTACTGTGTATCTTTAGCTGTCCTTGTATACATCCTGGTATGAAGCAACTACATAACGGGAACATGGTTAGTCCGTCGATCTGATAAGGTTTCAGCCCACACGAATTGATTAATGTTTCATTAACAACCACAACATGCGTGACAATTAATGTTAATAGCTTGACATAACGCTGGTAACTATAAAAATGTTGTAGGGCTACATTTCTTCTTTATTTTAACACTAACATAAAGTAAAAAAAAAACTTTGCTCATTACACAGGCACTGGCGGATGGTTGACTGTTTAATAGTATTGTTTGCCACCACACCTTATCACCTCCGCCAACGTTGGTAGGAGGTTATGTTTTTGCCTGGTTTTTTATTTAGCTGTTTATTTGTCTGCCGGCATATTTGTTGTGAACAGCCTACAGCCCATATTTTTTTATCAGAAATTCATCAATTGTGTCAATATTCTATTGACACAACAGATATTTTAGGACTCTAAATAACATATTTATTTAATATAGCAACGTGTATATATATATATATATATATTAGATGTGTATAAGAGAAGACATTACTACATAGTAGTATATTATAACAAGATGTGAAATGGATGTATACCACTTCTCATCAACATCTTTTGTGCTGTTAGGCTTTCACCTGAAAGACATTTTTGTGCCCACTAAAGCTGAATACTTGACATAATGCTGATTTGAAATCTATTATTGTATAAACAAAATAATTTTTTTTTCTTAAAGATATACCTCCTGTGATATGTTAAAAATGTAATAACAAAGTTTGTCAAATAGGCTAAATAATCCGAAATAAGATGATAGGACATTTGCCACACATATGGATCTTTCTAGGGTGTTAATAAAACTTAAGAACTGCTCAATCACAACAGGACGTGTCCTACAAACAGGGCGTGTCCTACCAACACATATACCTGTATACCCGTACATTTACAGTATTGTTTTGAGGGACCTTAATATATAACAATATCCAAGGGAACGGGTTTAGCTGAAAAGTCCACTTACAGACGTGAATAAATTAACAGTTATTGATTATTTTTCATACATTGTTTTAGCTGGTAATAAATTCCAGGATTTTTGTAGTAAAACGTCTGTAGTTTGGGGATAACATGTTTGATCTGTGTTTCATTTGAAGCTAACATTTTAAACAAACAATTTTAATATTTTAAGCCAGATACTGACTGCCCGATGTGATTCTACGGAGAACGCAACACCACGAAGCGGGCGCAACTGATCATTTTTAATGACAATCCGTTCAGACTGCCACCGGCAACCAGCAGACACAGTCGACACCGTCTAGCGCTCACAAGGAACGGAGTTAGATTCGGCGTACAATGAGTACACAGACTTACATGATTTTCTAAGGACTTTCTAGCTACTTCACATCAAGCGCGGATCCGGTTCGGAGTTGTTACGTTACGTTCCTACACAGAACACGGTTACTTGGGGTTAAGTACGTATGCCATCGATTGGTTCCAATCAACCAACCATCCAAGATCTGGAGTCCAGATTGGAAATTGTACAAATTTGATGTGAACAGTCCTATTCTTTACCACTGAACCCATTGTTCACGATTTCTTGTCCGGGCACCGGACCGGATCACTGCTTTGGTGTGAACATAGCCTAATGTATGAAATGAATACAAAATTAATATAAAGCCATACTTACAGAATTCAAACTATAATAGAAGGGTTCATACTAAAATACACACATAAAACAAATCTAAATAAGAGTGACTAGTATAATTATATATAACGCATGCAATAAATATAATAATTTCACACAAATTATTATAGAGGACTTGAAGGATTGTTCAATAGATGTTCGAGTGATTCACGTAAATCAAATACCACATTTAAATTTCTGACTGATGAGCACTGTATCCTTGTCTTGAGCTGTGTTCACATTGAATTAATTTTGGTCATAGTGAGCATGTACCTGAGCACTGAACAATAAATAATCCAGTGTGAACAGCCTGAATAACACTCTCCTTGATCTAATTACCCAAGATGCACAGCAAGTTTAAATTTTTAAATTTGAGTTTGGGTACCAATTTCATAATATTGATTTCCTCAAATGCAGAAGAATATTAAACTGGAAATTGAGACCTGCAAAAGATGACAGAATAAATATCACCTTGTATATAAATTTTGTACTTAAGTTTTTAAAATTCATATGCATTACTTTGAAGGGCCCTGTCCTAATGTAAATCAGTTTTTAACTGTTTGAGCTTGAGTAAATAAATAGAATAAATAAATAACCGGGAAATTCAATAGTGTGATGGTGGTTAGGTATGATGTTGATGATTTCTTTATTGATTTTGTTGTTGTTGTACTGGCTGAAAAGAATAAAATAAAAATAAAATAAATTTGTATGATGACAGTACTGTTTTATGATGATGTTGGTGAGGATGATGATCATTATATTATGTTTACACTGATTATCTTTGATAACATTAACCTTTAGATACTTTTATTAAATTACCTGTTTCATTTTCATTCATCATCTTTGTCTTCCCATTGCATTGAACGCTGGACGGCTTTTAACCACTTCTTAAAGCGCTTAGCACGAACTGTTATAAACAAAAAGCAAAACAAAGCAAAACTTGACAAGTAATATGTATTTTATAAAGCTTAGTGCACACTATCAAACTCTATGAAACAAATCTGCGATGTGCCCATATATGGGTATGATATCATATTACACCCATATATAGGCATATCACTTTTTTTTCGTCACAAAAAATCTGATAGTGCTTTATCCTGAAATATATTAAATGAAGAAAATCTATATTCTACCTACAATAACAACAGCAAGGGCAGATCTAGAGATGTCCGAAAGGGGGGGGGGACAAAAGTGGGACCGATCGAGACACTATCCTAGGGGGTCAGCAAAATTTTTCATTTCTAGAGGCCCAAAAACAATCTCTAAGACATTATGGGCAATCAATTTTTTTTTTTTCTCTTTCTCTTGTTTTTTTTTCTTTTCAACTTTCTAAAAGGGGCCGTGGCCGGCCTGCCTCCACCCCCAAATATGTTCCTGAACACATACATTATACATTAAAACATTTTCTATATTACTGCTCACTGCTACCAGCATAATAATTTACAATTATTACCATTTTTACTTTCGTCTGTCTAAAGAAAAAAAGATGACAAACCTTTTTCATCAATAGAGGGGGTAAATGTTGTTATTCCTGAGATGTTCTTATCTGGGTTTATATCCCACACGCCTAAAGCCTTCCCAGCAGCCACTGCTGCACCAAGAGCCGTGGTCTCCAGCATTGATGGACGTACTTCATGAAAAAAAAAATATTTTAAACCAAATTTGATTTCTTTATCATATTGTGTTTCATTTTCTAGTTGTTAATAATATAATTATACTTAATTATCCACACAGAAATGGCAATGTGACTCAATCATAAAGTGTAATCAGTTTAGAAAATGAAGCTGTTGGGATAACAGAGAAAAATCTATTAATTCTATTAATCTATTAATTTAGTAATTTATTAATGATCAACTTCAGCAATGGCACTCACATTTTTTTTGTTTAGTATTGATTATTATTATTATTATTATTATTATTATTGTTATTGTTATTATTATTGTTATTATTATTATTATTATTATTATTTGTAAAAAGTGGTGAGATGACCAAAATGTGTAAGTTGCCTTATTGAGACAGCAACTTTACTCTGACATCAGTGAGTGAGACCACTTGAATGTCACCATCACTTGAATCGCTGCTTTTTTTATGTTGTTAATCGCCTCAAGGTTGTTAACATTAGGCGCTATATGAATATTGATTAATAACAATAATAATAATAATAATAATAATAATACTGTAATATGGCTATTGAATGAAGCTGTTTAGATAACAACGAAACTACAAACTAGCAAAAATGACTAAAATTAATTTCAACTTAAGTCATAGGTCATACCAACTGGAATTCCAAGCACATCAGCCTGGTCCTGCATCAAAAGATTATTTGCTGTCATTCCACCGTCAACTTGAAGTTGCTGCAAAGGTATTCTAGAATCCTTGTCCATGGCATCTAAAAGCTGAATACACAATTAGCACTAATCAAACAAAAAACATCATCTTCTGTTAAATCAAATTTTATTACACAAAAAACATATGACATGCCTTAAATATGGTCATGATGACATCACATCATCACCATATATAGGCACATCATAACCATATATGGGCATACAACAGTTTTTTCTTTCCAAGAAAATTTGATAATCTGGACAAACCTTTAGGTATGTATATACATGGTTGGTGGCCAAAACCATCAACCAACGACTTTGTCAGTGTTAATAATCCTAGAGGGCAGTATAATCAAGGTTTTACATTCTTACCTCTTTGGTTTGGAAGCTAACTGATTCAAGCGTTGCCCTGGCGATATGTGCTTTAGTAGAAAACTGTGTAAGACCACAAATCACACTGAAATGAGCACAGAAAATATGTACACATTTAGTAATACAAATTTTTTTAGAATAATAATCTATATCATATATTATCTATATAAGAATATTATTAATAAACATTGGTTTTTTTTTTGTACCTGTAATAGTAATCCAAAAAATAATAGTTCATTGATAAATGATAAAAAAACATTATTCTGTTATTGCTGACAAGGATGTCAGAATTGTAAGAACATATGCATGTCAACTGTAACTTTGTGCAGGGTTGCATTCATGACAACAGGCTATAGTAGAAATACATGACAAGCAAATGCCTGTATTTAAATGACCAATAGCAGCAGAATACAATTGTATACTGGATAAACTATTGAATGCTCCTATGAAAGGACAAGACAATCCATCCCAGGTCTGCTGAACACTGCAAGGGTGTTCTCATTCCTTTTTTACTGATACAGATAGACAATTTTTAATAGAGTGATTAGCAACATATAAACCACCAACATCACTTTGTATATTTTCAGGTATTATTATGTTTTCTAAGATGGGATAAGGTAAGGTATAAATCAGAATACAAACCCTCTTGCATCAGTTTGCCAATAGGGGGCGTATAATCCTGAGAAAGCAGGTACAAACGTAACACCTCCGCAATTATCAACACTCTTTGCTAGTTCCTCTACATTGGAAGAGAATGAACATTATTATAAATTCACAAAGACATCAATATTGTTAAAACTAACAAATAATGTTTACCTGTATAGTTTTTCTTCTTGTCAATTTGTAGTGCTGTCGTTGAAGCAATGTAATAGAAAGTGTACTATACGCACAATAGACAAGCTGCTCCAAGTTTCTTTTTTCAATTCTACAGCACCAACAAGAAACAGAGCAATGGAACTTGGACCAAAAAAATCCATCAATAAAAACAAGGCTTACTTTAATTGTTAATGGTGTGGTTTGTGCCTTTTTGTATTATAAGAAATAATGGTATGGAATCAAGGCTATATGCAAAAATAATGTTCAATTTGCTTAACCTCAAGTGGATACAATTATCAGTTTTGTAATGACCTATGACCTTTGCTTACCGATTTCATGAGCTTCTTTGATAAATCCTAGATTATCCCTAAGCCACCTGACAGCTGCACCGGTAATGGCAACTGATCCCTGCAAGAACAAAAAAAAAACCCAACTAATTAAAGAATATTTCCTGGCTCAAGGCAGTGTCATTTTTTATCACAGTCTAACGGCAGTAGACCTGATGCACTGCACCGAAGCGGAAGCTGCTACTACACCGAACTTGCCAGTGTGGTTATGCGTAAACGGACTAGTGAAAGTGACGCTTGTTGGATTCCAGTCTTGAAGCACCAAACCAAATTATACACCTTGTATTGTGTACACAGAATCATTTACTAGTACAATATATATATTTAAAAATATAAAATCATAGATTAGTAAATAGATATTACCTTATAGCTTGCAGATCAATCACGCACACTGACACATAAAAGTACAATCCTCATCTGGATCGAGCATAATCAGGATTTTTCGACTTTACCCCACCCATTTCGATCATGAATTACTTTCATTTTGTCAGTAAGATTGCCATTCTGTATATTTATTGAAGGCAATTAAACATGCATGCTGCAGGCTTATTAGCAGTGCTATGCACATATAATGTAGGCCTACCTCTAGTGCGAATACAGTAGGTTCATTCGGTCCAAGTTTATAAGCGACTGTTGTCAACATGCCATGGGATGACTGAACAGCCTCCTGGCCAGTGTTATATAATAAAAAGCACCCTGTTCCGTACCTACAAGTAAAAACAGTAGTCAATATTAAAGGTTAAATGCAATAGTTAAAATAATAACATCAATGATAATAATAGAGCAAGACTTTTTTTACCTTACTGTTTGAATATAACTTTATTTTAACTCAATTATTATTTAAGTATAAATATACTTACGTATTTTTTGCCATTCCTTTTCTGAAACAATTCTGACCAACTAATGCTGCTTGTTGATCTCCAAGAATCTAATCAAGAGAAAGAACAACAGCAGCAATTAATTCTAAACTAATGTTCTTAAAACTGAAAAGTAGCGGTCCAATGCAAGCAAGCTTAAATCCTGTTACAAATGGCAACATCCTGAGATTTCCCTCCTTGTGATTGGCTATTATGTAGTCTGTAGCCTCAAATATCTAGATGCACTGGCTGACTGCCATCTATGATAAACTCAAATGACAGTAATGTAAAGCTTTACTACCAGTCAAGAAGATAAGAAGAAACTAACCCCAGCAATAGGAATCCCCTGCAATATACCCTTGTTAAGCTTTCCATACACCTCGGCTGAACTACGAATTTCTGGTAGAATTGACATTGGAATTTCAAAGAAACTGTAAAGAAACACAAGCAATCAAAAGCAAGCCATTTTTAAATCATAAAATCTCTCCCCATTGACTCTGGGAAACTGATTGGTGGTGCCCCTGGGGTTAGATCTCCCTGAGTTCAGAGTTCTTGGACCCCTTCGGCAATTTCCTGTTCCACCTCTCGTGGTGACACATATCAGGATTCCCAATGGGACTCACAAGATTTGAGTCCAGGAGGAAACCAGAATTGGAAAACAAGCATCTCAACCAGCCCCATGTTTTACACTACTATTTTGAGAATGGTGCAAGTCCACTTACCTGCATAACTCTTCATCCCACTGCAGGGTGTTAAGATTCATCAGCATAGTCCTACTAGCGTTGGTTACATCGGTAAGGTGAACTCCGCCCTCTACTCCTCCTGTCATGTTCTACAAAATTAACACAAATGGAATGATTAAGGTGCAAGCATTTGGATATTACAGAGGCTCTTGGAATATTGAAAATACAAGCTGTTTATCTTTCATTTAATTATATATTATTCCATCATTATTATTCTATTATTCTATATTATTAAACAGCTCAAGCATTCCTTGTATATTTTACAAATCAATACCTACCCATAGTAGCCAAGAATCAACAGTTCCAAAGAGACAGCGATCGTCTTTAATTGCTGCTTGAACATCAGAACAATTATCCATTAACCATTTCACTTTAACAGCACTGAAGTAGGTGGACAAAGGAAGACCACATTTTGGCTGTGATGAAAAATAGAAAATAATATAAATGTAGTGTATGATTAAATTCTTTGTATAATAATTATCTTGCATTCTGATAGTTTGAAATGATAGCTCCCCCAAAGACTTTCCCTCATTTGAGGACTCAGGAAACAAATGTAATTACGCTGGAGAGTTGAAACCAAGCCTAATTGAACAGTGCTTAATCCATAAAATACAAATCAATTATTTAAACCTGATTTACAAATGCTCGGACATTTTCTTTGTTGGAAAATATTAATTCAAAAAATAAACCATCTTGAGTAATAAAAAAAATGTATATAATGTCACCTTGAGGAATTCTTTACATTTATTTGGAGTCTTGTTGATGAGTTTATCTACAGTTGAAACAGTCCTCGTGTCCAGCCAAACTAAGGAGGAGAATCAACATGTATGTATTATCAAATGCTATGAAAAACAAAGACAGATTGGGTGCCTTGCAAGCAGCATGTCAAATGAGTGATTTAAATTGAAAATAATTTGTGAAGCATTGCTTATGACAAAAAGCTGAAAAAAACATAGATTGTAACACAAGGAATATGCAAACCTTAGAGGAGTCAGTTTCTGAAGCCATTTCCAAGTAAACTAATTTAAACTACTGTTAAGCCCTGTAAAGACTATCAGAATTTCCTCGACAAAAACATAAAGACGAGTAAATTCATTGCACACTTCGAAAAAAATTCCAGGATCGTTTGTTTTGTTTATTCTATTCCTTG